CAAAATAAAATACAAGTATTTCCATTGAGTGAATTGTGCTTCATATCACTATGATATGTAACATCAAACTGTTGTACTCAATGTATTTTTGATTAAAAATGTATAAAAAAAGATTTATTGAAAGATATTAAATTCTGTTTTAAATGTGTGACACTCTAATATTTTCATGAGCTATTTATTTTTGAATGTGTCAGAATGCTTGTTGCTTTAAAAACTGTTGAATAGCTCAAGGTCATTGAGGTGAAACACAAAAATTAGTTTTGTTGAAGGCAAAACATCGCACCATGAAACTGTTGACATTGGGACTTGTGGGCATGGAGGTCACGGAGCAGCCAGAGGAGGAGCGAGCCTCCCGTAAAGAGCGCAGAGCTGTGGCCGGGATGTTTGCCCAGCAGCAGCAGCAGCAGCAGAGGCATCTATGGAGCAAGGTTTCTGAGTTTAGGCCAGGTCAAGGCAGGAAAGTGAGAGAAGGAAAAAAAGACTGAGGTGCACCTGAAGTTTTACACCCTCTTGTTTATTTATATTTTTAAGGTTTTCCTCGATGGAGAAGCTGACAGTGTTCATGAAGAAAAAACACAGAAAACCAGAAAACTGTTGGTGGCTTGGTGAGAAGAATGACTTGGTATTATTGAGCGTGTTTGTATGTGTGTGTGTGTGTGTGTGTGTGTGTGTCTGTGTGTCTGTGTGTGTGTGTCTGTGTGTGTGTGTGTGTTTTGCCATGAAAGTAAGTGGCTCCACAGTCAATAACACCTAAAGCAACCTAAGCATGTGACCACGTACTCGTGTTTATAGATTGATACCACAGATTTTGTGTTTAAAAATGGTTTCAGGACAGTATTTTTGTTACTTTACAATACTCCCCAAATATTGTACAAACACTGTGTTTGGTTTCGGGATCTTATTTTCAGTTCCACTTGTTTGTCGAAACTTGGGCAAAGTTGGGCTGCTGCTAAATGTCAAAAATAGCTTCCATAAAATAAACGATATGCTAACTCATGAGCGTCATCATAAACAGCAGCTGTCAATATTCATGACATGTTTATCTAGACTTAAAGTAAGTTACTGGGCTTTAATGAGCCACGGCCCTTGAGTTGCTGTTGACTCAGATGTGATTGAGTGGAAATGAAGGCCTGTTCACATACAGTTCACATACTTGGACTCTTGCTCCACTGCTTCTTTCATCTTTTCACCTCTTTGATCACTCTCTCCTACCTCCCGCAAATGTAAGTGTTTCAATGACGAATGCTTTCAGAACATTTTTCCATATCTGGGATATCGGCTTTGAAGTCAGATGGAAAGTCTCAGAGTTGTGTGTATTAGTGCAGGGAACATCTGTGGTGTGTTTGTCGGTTGTTCATCAGCCTCTTGATTCATCCAGTTTGTCTGCAGTGTCATGGAACATTGTAAATTTAACAGCGCTTCCTTTTTTTTCTCCATTGCCTAATTAAAAGTAGACGTATAAAAACACAATTCAAGTTAATCATTAAACAGATAGAAACACAGATATTCACACTGACGACAGCTTCTCATTTTTACATCTCTTCCAGCCTGGTTCCTCCTGACAAACCAAGAAATGCTATTATGAGTTGAAAGGGAAGCAGAGACTCTGGGTGCCGCCGCCGCAGCTCTTACTCTGTGTTGGTTGGCACCAGATGTTGGTTTTGGCCAAAGGAAGAGGTGCTGTTACTGAATACGGCTGCTCCCCTTCACCATGAACACTAACCCCTTTCTAATCAACGCCGCCCTGCCAGTAAAGCTGCACATTACTCCCCCTCTTACCCCAATTTTCTAATCTGAGAAAGACTGGAGGGAGGTTTTCTTTCTTCCTGTGTTATGACCCTGAGCCAAAACCTTTACTGCAATAACAGCTAGTCACCCCTCTGCTATGTACAAAAGAACCTTTGTTTCAGAGTTTGTTCAACATGTTATCATCTTTTCAACATCAGCTCATCAGATCAGGGGTCATTTTAGGGCAAGCTCTCATTTTCTCTCTTGCATCAGCTGTTTAAAGGCTTCAATATTAACGCCCAAATTAATTTTTTACAATATGACTTTTCTTGTCCCCTAATTTTATGAGTTTTGAGAATGATGATTTTACACAATAACAATAGCCATAGAACCGACTGCCATCCACGTTACTGCAGAGATTGCAAGCTCCTAAAACGGAGAAGATTGAAAATGCTGTTGGTCCCTTTTGTAAACCATGACGCAGTCACCTGATTGGTTCTTCCCATGACTCGACTACCAGCGTGAAGCCAAAACGTTGCTAACGCTGACTTCCGCTAACACTTCCACCTCATCGTTGGTATACTAAACATATACTGGTTTACTTTTCACCATTGTTGTTTCTCCTTCATAGTATTTTTTTTAACCAAGAACTGCAGAATAGATGATGTGCTTCCGGTTTACACTGGCACGAACCAAGTGTACATGAATACTCACATGATATGCATTTTCTGGTGTGCTTGTATGGATGTGGATTATTACAGAGCTGAAACACTCATATGGATGGTGATCATTTAAGTTACTAAAATGCATTAGTAGGATTTAGCTTTTGTGGCAGCACATCCTGTGGTATATCAGTTGGGACCTCACAGGTGAGGCGACAGTCTCGGACTCCAGTACTGGTTTCGGCCCGGGGATGTTTGATTTGGCTCGTGTGGCTGCAGCAGCACCTGGGCAGGAAGGCCAGGCACAACTAACACTTCATTACAACTCTCCAGCAAAGCCACCTGAACGAACATCTGCATGGGACTTAGTGAGTTGTCACCATGGGTCCCTGTGTGTAAGTGAGTTTGGCATTTATGTACACTAATCAGCCAACTTTAATGTTATGGTTTATTTGTGTTGATAATTATTAATTCATTCAAATAATGAGATGTTAATACTTCTTCAAAAGTTTTAGCCAAAATGGTTTTACAACTGCACCAACTTGGCAGTACTGACAGGTAGTGATACATTAAACTGACCCCAGCAATAACAAATCTCAGTGGCTGTAGCTGAAGATAATTACCTGCAGAGTGAGCACAGATGTGAGAAGCTAAATGTGTGGAAGGTGAAGTAGATTTATTTCCTGTGAAACAGACTACCATTTACAAGGGTAACCTGTACAAATATCCCCATCAACGTTACTATAACATGTCATCAAAGCCAAGGGAAATACTGCTTTTTTCTCAAGGATGTACAGTCAGCCCTCTCCTATGCTGCTTCTCTCTGTAAAATCCTATTTCAATTTAATTCAGCGTATTGTGATTTTTAGAGGATAAGTGAGCTGAGAAAATATGACATTTCTTTTTTTTTAAAGTTAATTTTACCCATAAAACCTTGGTGGTCTTATGGTTTGCATCACCTCTGATATAGGGAGGCTGAGACAGCCTTATAACCAGCTCCATAGGCAAATGGCATATGTGTGTGTCTGTGTGTGTGTGTGTGTGTGTGTGTGTGTG